GATGTGCACAGATTTGAAAATATGGCATTCTAGGGATGCCCAGAAATAGCAGCTACCTCTGTTCCAACGCAACGCAGGGGCAGATACAGGATTTTAAGTTGAAGGTGTGTTAGATGGATGGCTCCTCTGCCGAAAGCTTCAAAAAAAGAATGTCCATAACTTTGGAGTTATGTATGGAAATGTATTTTCAAGTAATCAGGGCCGGCTTGACCTGTATAACTTTGTGTGGTTATGACAGTATTGGCTGACTCAAACCCTCAAAAGTTTTAGGAGTTTACGTTACTTTATGTCTCAAAACATTTTTAAAACCAATCTTATTGTCAAACAAAAATATCACAATTAATAAAAACTAGAACCTTGCATTAAAAAAAAAACATTACGATCTTACTGATCAGGGGTCCTGACCCCCCTCCCTTGGGCAAAAAAAATAAAGAAATAAAAAGAATTCTAGACCCAACTTTCAGGACCAGTGAGAAAAAAAAAAAGAAAATTCAATTCAATTTTTAATTAATGTGTTTTTTACATGCATTTTTTATTTCCCCTATTTTTTTATCATTGGTTTTATGTCTGGTGCTGTGTTTTTATCCATTGTTTCTATTTTATGTTTGTGTTTGTGAATTTCATGAATTTCGTGTTCTGTGTTTAACATTTTAAGCAATTATTGTAATACACTCATATAAAGTACTTTGGCTGTCTGTTTTAATTTTTAATTTATATTTTTATATGTATAAAGAATAAAGAACTTAAATACAAAATTATAAGTCGAGAAAACTCATTTCGCGCCATCTAGGAATCTCGGGGGAGGACCCCCTACCCCCTTTTATTTTTGGGGTTCATTGATTTGTGGAAAAAAGTACCGTATATGTATGCAAAGTATGTATACCGGTACACACATAATAGGCCTATTTACTTTAATAAGAATGAGAAAAAAATTACCTGACCGTTTTCAAGGGGAAAAACCTTGAATTTTGAAGAACTTAAATGTCATTAAAAGACACCTCATAAGTCGGGAAAGCTCATTTTCCGCCATTTAGAAATCAACATTTTCCCATGGAGAACCCGAACCCACTTTTTTCTTTGGAGTTCATTGATTCATACAATCGTTTTCAAGAGGGGGAAAACCTGGAATTTTGAAAGACTTAAATCATTAAAAGACGCCTCTCATTTTCCGCACCATCCAGGAATCAGAATTTATTCCCGGGTGGGGGGGGGGTGAGCCCCCATCTCCCTTTCTTTTTGGAATTTACGGATTCATGAAAAAAAAAACGTATACGCATGCAACTATTTATTTATTTGTATGTACCGTATGTATACACACATAAAAAACAAATGAGAAAAATTTACCTGACAGTTTTCAAGAGGGAAAAGCCTTAAATTTCAGAAGTCGAGAGAGCTCGATTCACGCCATTTAGAAATCGAGATTTCCCGGTGGAACACGGACGCATCATTTTTTTCCCATACAGATGCGGCAGAAATTATAGACGGTGCTTTTTAAAGTCAGTTAGGAGAACGGATATGCATGAATATGCATAGAGACTGTCCCTGGCGAAACAGAGTCAGTGGTGCATCGAGTTCTATGCGTGGATGAACGCTATGGAGTCACTAGCCCAAAATTTCGTAAAATAAGCCTTGGTAGTCAAGACAGTGTAAAAATCTAACTACATTAGACACATTCTGTGTACGCATGGTCTTCGAAAGTATTAATAAAAAACCGTAGGCTAATATTATATTGAATGTGGCACCGTGTTTGAGTAGGTCTAGGCCTACAGTTAGGCTTGTACAGTATGACGTGTGTGTCGTAGCAATAGTATAGTAGTACTTATTCTTAAGGACGTTTAGAAATGCTCTAAAACAAATTACTAGTACTTCGGACACAGTTGACTTACAACTTTACAAATATAAGTTGTTTTTATTTTTTTTTATGAGAAAAAAAATCCATGCCTATTAACAGACAGACAGCGTTTCTGTATTCTTTTGCATGATTCATTGGTTGGTATTTAAGGATTTTTGTAGAACCGCCTGTAAATCAAGCTATTTTTACTTACATCTGATTTTGATCGTTTTAAATATAAAGCTATTCAATATTTAATTGAGTAGACCATGGAGGAAATATATTTCCTCCGTGGGTAGACACAGCCTAAACAATACGTCATGTGTATGAATATCGAAAATTAGTGTCTATAATATACCTGCTTGCTATATAATCTCTGCCTTTATTCATATTGAATATTAACGAAATGTTATTGTAAGAAGTCAACATTAAAACAATACATAGAATTGTACCTGTGTGTCTGAGCATTTCTAAACATTTGTATCCTTTATAATCATAATTGTTACTATACTTTACACTAATCAAATAATCCACCAAATATTCAGCGCTGCCCTTTTATACTTTTAAAGACCATGTTGTACGTAAACACTGCCCAGCAATAGTCAATTATTCTAGTTCACTCTGTATCGACTGTATACACTTCCCTCTCGACCGACTACCAAGATATTTTGGCCTACCTTAACCATAGAGGAATAAGTTTAGTTTCTAAACTAACTTCTCCATGCCATAATGCCACCCTGACACTTGCACGACTTTTGTCCCCGTATTGCGCGCAAAGCATTGTGGCAAGGCGTGCCATTTCAGTGGGGTGAAGCCATGTTTGCGGCCTGTTCGCGCACTGTACAAACATACGTCACACACCATCTACGCATGCGCGGCCAAAAATGGGCCGCAGTGGCACGTATTGACACGTAATGGCACTACACTACTTGTTTACGCATAAGTTAAGTATTGTTCGCGCATGGGTGAAGTCGTCGTGGCAACTTTGGTCACGCTTTGTCCCGCCTTGGCAGCACACTCGCAATACAACGTGCCAAATTCCAGAAACACTTAATTGCAGAGCAGAGAAGGTGTTTATGTCTGGTAACTGCAGGACTCTTACTTCTGAAAGATCAGGAGAAAAGGCAGCAAGAGGAAGAGCATTCTTCATTGACACGCATTGACATGCACTGTCGGCAGTGTTTGCGCCGAGTTCGCGCAGTATTCACGCATGGTTGACGCATACAGCACGAACGTTGATGCGTGCCAATTTTTTTTTTTAATTTTAAAATTCTCACTACGACATGGCACGCATCCCCGCACCCTTCACGTACTCCTCACGCTTGTTTTCCGAAGACTTTAATCAATGGCACGCCGAAGTGCGCGCCAGTGCGGGAAAGAAAATCGTGCAAGTGTCAGGGTGGCTTAACTACGCCGTAGCTTTCATATATTCCACAAGCAGCGAACACTTTCGCGACTCGCGATCGAGAAGTGTCAAGCATGCATGCATTATTCATGTTATCAGTTCACCTAAATGACCTTAGATAGTGCCCTCTATAATTTCTGCCTGAACTGTATTGGGGAAAAATAATGCAACCGGGACCCCTTTCTCATTGGGGTTCATTGATTCATGGAATCATTTTCAAGAGGGGAAAAACCTTGAATTTTGAAGGATTTAAAAGTCCTCAAAAGACACATCAGAATTCGGGAATTCAAGAATCAAATTTTTTTTTAACTGACGCTTATAGCAATGAATTTGGATTTTCCAAATTATAGACCGTAATAGGTATTTCACACACAACTGATTTCCATGTCAGGTCATTAAGATAAGATTAGCAAAACTGATAAGCAAGCTGATTAGCCATCATTGTTGGCCTATCTCTGGAATTTACAAAAATCGTCGGTATCTTGTGTTATTACGCGGACCCTCACTGCGTCGTACGACTGTCGTACGACGCGTCAGTCGACGAATCCAACTTAGCTTCCTGTGTTTTTTAGACCACAATATTACGGATTGGCAATCAAAATAACGTTATTTGGATATCCAATTATTATTTTTGTTTCTGGACGATTACGTCGGACAAACACCCTGGGGTATTTATTGTTGAGTAGAGCTTTTGAGGGGAGGCATTTATTTGCGGAGGGGCGTTTATATTTTGGTCTAAAATTGATACATATATATTCCTCTTAGCCTAATTTCAGTGTAAATGTGTAGTTAATTACAACACATAATTACCATCAAAATGTGTTATTGCTTGGTCATAAAAACTTTCTGACCAACCAGGTCTTCAAAAGCACAGTATGCTTAACTTTCGTTCAATGGTGACGGCAAGATTTGGCAAACAGGGATAAGGCAAACTGGATTCGGCAAACTGGGTTTCGGCAAATTGAGATGTCATGATGTCGGTGAACTGATTCGACAAAATGGGTGTCGGCAAAGTGTCCATTGACTCGGTAAACTTGGATTCGGCAAACTAGGTTTTGACAAACTGGGTGGATATTACAGTGGATCTAGGCCAGAGTTGTGTTGATTTCGGTGAACTGATATTCGGCAACTGTGTTTCGGCAAAGTGTCTATTAACTCGGAAAACTGGTTTTCGGAAAATTGGATTTCGTTAAACATTAAACAGTAATATTTTAAATTTTGACATTATCAAGGCAACTGTACCTACAGCCATTCTACTAAATACTCTTTTTACTTTTCCGCCTCGGCCGCGTTCTGCTTTGTTCGTAAAACCTCTCCATCTTGTTCTGTCCAATACTGTGTTGATTATTTCCTACAGATCCGGTATTGTGTTGGGTTTTGTCGTTAGCGTGGTGATTGGATCTGTAGTATTAATGTCAATAATTGTCTATTGGGAATTTCCAAAATCTTTTCATTGTTGACTTATAATATTACAAACGAAAAACAAACAAAAAGAAGTTATATAAGGGGCTTTGGCTGACCTTTTCTTCATTTCATTTTTGAGCGTCTTCAGCATCAGTACAAGTCGCTGCCAACATAATGGTAGGTTATACAGTTTTTAATTATCTTGTTTTCTACATGTCAATCAAAACGTGTTACTTGTTTATATACAGAAGTAGACTTATGTACAAAAAGCCATAACATAAGGCTTGTGACAGTGAGTGGGTTGAATCCGATCCCATAGAAGGAGACTAACAGTACTGCAATGCTATTTCGATGTGTGTTTGCGTCAAGAAAATGTCATAGGAGTGACGTTTTATTAAGTCACTAAAAGCGAGTTTGGTGGTCTAGTGTAGTTAGAGCACCAGGCTAGTTATCTGAAGGTCATGGGTTCGACTCTCATCCTAATCACTTTACAAATTGTTTTAGCAAGTATTTAAAAACATGTTAAGTATCCAATACGATAGCACTCCAGGTAGGGCAAGCATCTCTACTATTATATTTTCCTGACGCAAACATACAGCGAATTAGATCTAGGATACTTACCGTATTCCCTATTATGTTAATCCTTTTTAATATCCCTGCCAAGAAAATGGTGATGCAGTTTATATTCTACATAATATTTTAAGAACAAAAGTGCCTAGATTTAGTTCAGTACTACTTGCATTTCCAGCTACGTTTGGGGGATCGTACATCACTTTACTACCTCGTTTGTGATTTAGAAGCGACATGTATTTATCCTCCACAACAGGACTGGGAAACTGAAATCATCGAAGTCGGAGCCATTATATTGAATTCAAACCTAGAAAAGGTAAGAATTCGTTTTTCCCTACATGCAGCGTTAAAATAGTACCGTATCCATTCCAGATCAAGGTAAATTAGTGTTTGTAGGCAGGTAGGTTGCCGTATTTAAAGTAATATGCCTAAATTGTGTTTACTATGCGAGTCCGCAGTGGTAATAGTAGTATAAATTGGGTTTTATATTCTATAGCTATTTCATATTTGATGTTATAATTAAATATTAGACCTACTATAAATAAATAAAAATATTTTCAATTAGCATAAAATCCTAGGATAAAGATGGTATAAGTTGTAAATCGTGCTTACCTTGTGACTGGGTCTCACTAATCATCAATAGAAAGTTTGTTCAACGGATGTTTTCTAAACAATTCACAATCACTCATTAACGATTAATCTTATCCCGGATTTTATGTAGGGCCACAGTATTTCAACATAATGATGAATAGGCAACGTTATAGAGCCCTGCCTACCACCACCAATAGATCAAGATCATTTTTTTATCCATCTGTCATTAGGGCACTTAATTCATAGTTTATAGGCCTAATAAGTTTACAATCTGTCTTATTTTTCTCTATGCGTTGCATGAGCCAACTCAATTTCTCTGTATTTCCGATGTTACACATTACTGAATAAATAAATAATGTTGTATTTTCAAATCGAACGCTAATATGTTTACGATGGGGGATCTTACTTCCTTTTTGCAATCTTATTTGGTTATTCAATAATGAGATGTATTGTACTGATACTTGACTAAAGTATGATCTGTTTCACTGAAATTAGGCTCAGTGGCCGTATTTGGAGGTGCATAAGATTCTTTAATAGTCTTTTAAAATGTTATTCATTTAACTATCTATCCAACATTATGAGTTCCTCTGTGTTTTCATATTAGGTCAGTGAATTTCAAGAATATGTCCAACCGGTTATTAATGCAAACTTGACGCCATATTGCCTGGAACTCACGAAAATCACTCAGGTAAGGCAGTAATATTAACTGAAATAGAGGAAAACAGCCTGCTATCCCTGTCATCTAAATAATAAAACGATAGAATTTATTTATACGAGCTCATGGTACATTTTGAATCCAATAGTCTTTTGGCTAGTGAACAAACATTTTCCAAATGTGGACATTATCGAGTAGTGCAAGAATATAGTTACCATTGTAAATTAATTTGTTTTAAAGTTGGGGTTATATAAAAAAAAAAACAACGAAATTCGAATTAAATTAATGAGTAAATTTAATTCATCCCAAGAATTTAAAATAAACTTTATGCAATATTGTTCTGGTATGTTAAAATATAATTATGTATATGTGTAAATATGGAACGACATGGATAATCTAACATGGATAATCGTACATACTAGGAAGAAAAATATTATATAAGTTTTGCCATTGTTGTATTTTAACTTTGTATATTGGTTGTTTTTTTCCTAACTTATTTGCTTTCCAAACTTGGACTTTGATTGAACGTTTAACTTTCTTTAGTGCAATTTAATTATTTGTGAATAAAGAATGATTAAAAACTTTTCATGCTTTTTTTTTCTCATCTCTCAGTTTTATTTTCATATGTTTTTGTTTACTGTACAGTATTGTCTTCCAATGTTTTTCTTCTCTATAGCTGACTTTCTAGTGGAATAATTGTTGTCATAACAATGAAATAAAAGTACGTATTTAACATGAATATTTTGTTTTGCATATAAGGCAGATGTTGACAGAGCAGGCAAATTTCCAGAGGTGTACGGACGGATGTTAACATGGATGAGGGAAAATGGTTTAATACTTCAACCAGTAATGCAAAACTTTACTCTTATCACAGACGGGTATAAATTTCACTCTTTAAAGCCGGGCACTCCCTGCGTCGTACGACCGTCGCACGACGCACGACGAAACCAACTCCGCTTCCTATGAGCGCTAGACAACGAAACGCCGTCTGCTGATTGTCGGTGGTCGTCTGAACGGATCGTCACTAAAAACGATCAGTTGCGCACGCGTCGTCGAGTTGAGTTTTCATAGAGTCGAGTGCCCGGCTTTAAAGATTTACATGTCAATTGTCAATGATAATGTTAATAAAGATGGATGTGATTTGTGAATATTAACATGATGATGAAGGTGATTATGGTGTTGGTGATGTGAAGGAGATGATAATGATGATGATGATGATGATGATAATTTTAATAATGATGATGATAAAAATATTAATAATGATGATAATTATGATGGTAATGATGATGATTGTTTTATTCAAATCTATCACAAATATTTATGAAATTACTATTTTAATAATGATTTTTTTTCTGTGGGACAACACGTGTGTTTGTAGGACACGCCCGTATTCCTAGTCATGTTCCGATTGGTCAGTTTTTAATTGACACTCCATTACTATTATCATCAATATCGTCATTACTGTATCAACATTATGACTATCATGTTCTTTTTAGTGTTTTTGATTGTAACCAGTACATACGATATCAGTGCATACAGTCCAAGCTCAAGTATCCGGAATGGGCAAAAAGTTTTGGCAACATAAAAAAACACTTCACCAAAGTTCTACCACATACGCGGAAGGCTGATAAGAAATCGAATAGTATCACTGAAATGTTGGCAATTTTAAGTATGATATATAGCAACAATTATGTTAATTATGTTCATTTTATAATTTATAATAACAAAAATTATATTTAATCCAGTTATTGATAATGTTTACTTTAATATTTATTTTTCCGTCTAAACTCGAACTTTTGTATCCTTAAGCTTATGGTTCAAGTGCACCCTCACTAATCATGACGAAAATGCTTTGTAAACGAGAAGATACATTACTACCGGCTAAATAAACACTGCCTAATGTTTGTAATTCTATATATGTATTCCACAGACATTCCAATGGATGGTCAGCTCCATCGAGCCTTAGATGACGCAAAACTTGTTGTGAAGATAATGAAAGGTCTTCGAAAATTTCGTCCTAGATTCGAATTTCGGTCAAACGAAATATTAAGAACGAATTGGGAAGTAAGATTTTTCACTTAAAAAGCGAATGATGTGCATTGGTCGTGTAGTGAAATATATAGATATGTCAAAATTGTTCAAAGACAGGCAAGTCTACTAATGAATGTTAGGGAAAATCAACTATTAGTTTTGTGTCGTGTTCTGGTATATTTGCAAATGCAGCCGCATTCCTAATGACAAACAATAGATGGATACGATAATACACGATATAATCTTTATTGTCAAATTAACTTCCGTTCCATTTGAGATATGTTTTGCATTGTATACTCAAGTAAGTGACAGAAATAGCCATACATCATTGTTAAATATAAGAAAAAGTATGCCTCCTGCAAGATTTAAACTCAATATTAAATATGCATGCAGATCACCCTCTAGTTGTAAAGACCAGAAAGTGGTCTTTAACTCAAGACAAATCAAATACTTTTATTTTATACAATTGATATAATACAAGATGCAGAATAAAATACAGTAATTGAAACACATAAATTGTATAGACGGAGGCTACAATAAATTTCTGCAAATGAGTCTTGTATTTATACACTTATGTGGCCCAAGTGAACGTTCAACGTTTATTTTTATGAAAATATTTTATTTAAAAAAAATTAAGACCAAAGCTGCTTAAGACCATGAAACCCCTGGTTCAAAAAGTGGTCTTTAACTCAAATCAAATCAAATATACTTTTATTTCTATACAATTGATATAATACAAGATGCTGAATAATATACAGGAATTGAAACACGTAACCAAAAGGTCCACTGAATAATCTCAGATAAGATAGTATAATACATACTCCAAGTATCGAAATGCACGCCATCCTGTCGGGATTCAATATTTCGACATTAATTATGTCATCATCAGGAATCACATAAATTGTATAGACGGAGGCTACAATAAATTCAGCAAAGGAGACCTGTTTTTTAATAAAGCCCTATTTCCTGAGGCTAAATTTTCTAAAGATTGTTGCTCATGATCTAAATTCACGAGAAAACTCACGACACTAGCACAAAAACAATTGCTGGATAGTTCAGTAAAAGATCGAGTAAGGCCTAAGAACCACTTTTGTAACCATCAACCCCTGTAAAATCCCCTCATCAGATTTAATCCTGTAAATTAGGCTACAAATGCTAGGAAGTACCAAATAGAAGCAGAAGACTAAAAACAATCTGTTATAATAGGAATTTTATTTAAGATGTCTTGTAAAGTTGATATACAGTACTTCGAGCTAGCAGAATATGAAGCTATTGACACGTTGTGTATCTATTTCTTACTTCAATTTTATAATTAATAAAGACTGTAGAATGGTTTATGAGCTGTCATCAATTTAGTATAGGTATCACATCAAGAAATAGACATCAGAATAAGGAATATAACTTATTGTAATAATATTAGACTATAATACATAAATATTATTCACAATAATGAATTTGAGACCAGCGCCTAACCACGTTAGTGGTAAAAGAACACAGCCTGTCAGAAAATAGTTTGGGGTATTTTAAGTCATACGAACATTGAGTAAAATTCATAGCTCAAGGTGCATCGTCCTCTCTTTACATATTGTGAAATGTAACTCAAGCGGATATTAGGCCACAATGGCAATATTTTAGGAAATGTAATGAAAGCAAAATCGAGATTTTGGAAAAGAAATAATAAATTATTCTAAAATTAACCTGGAAAGAATTAGCTTAAATGTTTAAAAGTTAGTAGTAACCCACTGCACTCGAGACGTTTCATTTCTTGTTGTTTTTAAAATTCCACTTGACGAGATTCTGCAGAAATACAGAATCTTACTAATTTGATCAAACATTATTATCATACATCGGTAAATATTGCAAAATACATTGCACGATTAATATCTACGGAATTAAACGCGCAAGGAAGATATGAGATAGGGCACCCTTCATTTCATGTTTATCTCTTGGCAAATTTCTATTATTAATCAACCTTATTATGCAATAGCATTAGAGATACCCACTGCACTAGAGACTTTTTATTTCTTGTGGTTGTTTTTAAAAGTCCTCTTGACGAGATTCTGCAGAAATACATAATCATGCCACGCTTATAGCAACTTTTACTATTGCACAATGAACGTATTGGACCTATTACTGTTATCAATTTCGTGCAAATATAGACTTTGACAATACATACTTATTTGATCGAACCTTATCCACATCAGTAAATATTGCAAAATACGTAATTACAAATAAAGCTTAGGTATACAATTTATAGCCCCATTCCCGGAAAGATTTCAGTTGTTAAGAAAAATCTGATTTTTATGTATGTTATAAAGATTTATAGATGTAATACGAAATTGCTAATTAAACTGAGCATTCCTAAACATGAAAAAATCTGAAATTAGTAATTGGAATTTCTTTTGTGTTCCACACAAAAAAATAAATGCGAATGGATTTTTCATGCTTGATTTTGTGATAGGTCTGCGAAGAAACATGGTAGGCGCCGAAAACATTAGCCTATCAAACCACTGCTAGGCTAAGCCTAGCCTTACCTCGATTTAGGTTCTGTTATCACACATAAAAATGGCCGACATAATATTTTACGTTGCTAGTATTGATAACATTTCATAGGAATTATTTCAAATCTTTAAAAAAAAAAGATTCTGACTGAGACTTTGACAATTAAACAAACATAAGTTTAGGCCTACTCGATCGATCGCAGTGTGCGAGATGCGATTCTGCATGCAAAGCAGCGTGACCACTCACAATTTTTGATATACCCAATGACTGGGTCGAAATTACCCAAGATTCAGCAAAAATTGCCCAAAATTACCCAAGCTTCTTGAAAATGCATTACAATTTGAAAAACACGTGTTTTTCGCATGTATAGTTTCCCTTTTAGTTCAATTTATAAACCATTTTTTCATTGTAATTGTTTGTGTATTATTAAAATTATTACGGATAGAAAAATACGCCCTCAGTCGGCCAGTGTTATCAGTAGATCAGTGATCAAGTTTTTTATGTAATGGCATAAATTAGGTAAGATCAATGGCAACGCAAATCACAAATAAACAGTTTTGAAGCCATGTTTATAGCTATTCTCAGTCAATTAACAATAATATGTGCACTTCATTGAGTTTTGCTCACTTGAATGGACTGAAATGTACTTTGTTACTTCTTAATTCTTTTTCTTCTTTGACAAAAATATATTTTTTTTAATTTTCTTAGTAAAAATAAAATACCTAAGAACCCAAGACCAAGTCAATACCCAAGATCTTGGGTAAATACCCAAGCAGTGGTCACGCTGCTGCAAAGTACAAAAACTAAAGATCTTATAAACACAAGATAGCGTTCTCCGCGAATTACGCGTAACAAATAAAAGCGTCGGTGAAGGTTCAAAAGTTTCCAATTTAGCAAGAGGGCGCCGTTCATGCGCTATTATACCAAAGAGAAAAAGCTTAGTATTCAGCTTTGGAAGAGGGCGTCCTATCTGTTGCCATGGATCTGAGATGGTTCCTGTTCTGCTGTTCACAGGATTGATACCCTAAGGTAAAGTCGCGCGGTGTACGGTGTGGTAAGAGCGGTCAAGGGTCAAAAGTTTCCAATTTAGCAAGAGGGCGCCATTCATGCCTTATTACAGAATGTCAGTACTATTGAAGATGTGTATAAGAGACAGGGTTTAATGCAAAGATCTTATAAACACAAGATAGCGTTCTCCGCGATTTACGCGTAACAAATAGAAGCGTCGGTCAAGGTTCAAAAGTTTCCCATTTAGCAAGAGGGCGCCATTCAAGCGCTATTACCGAAGAGAAAAAGTAATAAGTTTTTGAAGAGGGCGTCCTATTTGTTGCCATGGATCTGAGATGGTTCCTGTTCTGCTGTTCACAGGCGGTGTACTGTATGGTCAGATCAGAGCGGTCAAGGGTCAAAAGTTTCCAATTTAGCAAGAGGGCGCCATTCATGCCTTATTACAGAATTTGCACGCGTAAATCCCGGAGAACGCTATCTTGTGTTTATAAGATCTTTGACAAAAACCAATTTCATTAAAGAGGGCGCACTTTATTGATTGTATAACGTATAAGTAAAAGCGAGAGCATTCCAGCGGATGCGATCTACAACCTCCGAATTTGCCTAGTAACGAAGAATTCGTCTAGAAAATGGTAATCTTCTATGAGAAATAGTCTGTATTTCTCTTCTTTTTTTTATTCTTTTGCGTAAAACTAAAATTTATACCAATATCTTTCCATTGTTTATAATAAATAGAGTAATGCACATGCATTTTTTTCTATAAAAATAGTGAAATTTTGAAGGTAAGGGGCTTAAGTTAAGCGTAGGTATACAAGTTAAGTGATTTGCAAAGAAGTAGGAAAATACATTAGGGACCGAACCTGTCGTTTCGAGACTCACGAACATTATCAAGTGAATGAGTGTCTTTAGTAAGTCTAGATGCTTGAATTAAAATGTTATTTCACCCAAGCCCAGAAATACAAATCATCTGATATCATCATAGAGTAGTCACCTTATTCTAAAAATGCAACGCTCATCAAAATAAAATATTTCTCTTAGTCTAATCTTGTTATATTTCAAGCCTAAACAATAAGAACTACAGTAGGCCTACGTCAAAGTTCTGCCAAGAAAGCAAGTAGGGCCTACAACCTCCCAGCCGGCGCACGTTTCTGGATTAAATTTCGTTGAAAACAATGTTTTGACTAGATGTCAGAACATACACTAGGGTTTCTGTATAGTATGCGCCTAGTTTAAATAACATATATTAAAAATCACTAATCTATTTTATCAACGTTACTGGTCGTTGTCGTATTTAATGCAATGAAACATTCTAAAATAATGTAGGCCGGCTATATACATTTAGATCTACAAATTTTGTTATCGGTAGTTATATAGGGTATAATGGCATAACAAATGCACGTTATGGTTTGATGGGTGTGACAATAGATAAACTTTAGCAAAGATAAACTTTAGCAAGTTATCTCCTCAAATCGTGTGTATCTTAAAAACTCACTACACTATCCAGCGGTGGCGCCAGCGTGGGAGGGGGTTAGGGTGGGGGAGAGATGGCCTCCCGTCGGGGAGAAAAACTACAATTAGTCGGGAATATATATATATATAGTAGACCCAAAATCCGATTAAATAAGCCCTTGAAACCCCTAAATTGTCATACATACTTTTTTTCGTCGGATACATCGGCCTCCCCTTTGGGCAAACCCTGGTGCCACGTACTAACACTATCACAATGCTAATTCTTGATTTCGTTCTTAACTTATAATGTTATGAATTTATATTAATACGATTGCTATCAGACACTCAAATGTTTAAGTCAGATAACTAATGCTTATCGCTTAGTTTTAAAAAACAGACATAACATAAATTTAACTTCATACAGAATTCAGGCGTTTACACTACTTTATCGAATGTGTAGAGAACAAACCAAACAGATCATTAGCATCACATGCTACGAAACAGTTAAGAGTGTGCAAATTCATCTAAGCTCTGAATTTTTGTCTCCATGTGTGGCATTCAAAAACGCTTCTAAACGCATGCAATTTTCAGTTCCCGGCATTTTTTCAGTGAGACAGTTCTACACCTATAATACTTAAGACTTCCGAGTAGTTTGTTGTGAATATTGACTTTCTATTTGTGCAGTCAAGTAGGCTACAATTGGCATAGTTTCTTTCGAAATGGGAAACAACTGGTATTCAGCCAGAATTTATACTCGATGTTTTTTAATTGAAGGCACGAATTGCTATTCACACATAATTATTGAATACTGTAAATAAAATGGCTATAACGTTGACCAAAACATGAATGGTATCATAGTAATAACCATTAATGTTTGTAACATCGCCAAATATAATATAGATAATAGTATATTGTTTATATATTATAATAATCACTCTCAATCAATGTCCTTGTGTGTCCCTTTTTTTTTCTATTTATTTTTTTTACAACAGAGTAGGATTGTCACATCCTGCGATCCACAATTTGACACCTGCGAATTCACCAAATGAACTAAATACACTGTATATTAAATTTGAGAGACGTATTCGGCCCACCCCAATTTGGTTTGCATTGAAATCGACGGCTAAGAGCATCAATTAACGTTGTACAAAATGAAGGCCAAAATATGTGGGAACTGAAATTTCTGTGACTGTCGAACAGTGGCCCATGTGGCTTAACAGGCACTTTACGCAAGATGACGGGGAGCCGTCGACAACGGGAATTCGGGTTAAGCGTTTAGGCCTACTGTGGTCTTCACGATCTGATGAGCACAAACCCACCATCCACCCGTCTTCCCGCCCTGTTGCGTTAAATGCGTACTAATTGCAGAAGAATGGTATATTTTGATTTTTGTGCTTTCGTGTCAGAAACTAATATCAAGGCAAAAGCTGAATATCAATATATTATTGCTGTTTTTATTGTTGTTAATTATTGTTATTATTATTATTATTATTATTATTATTATTATTATTATTATTATTATTATTATTATTATTATTATTACTATTATTATTATTAGTATTATTATTCCTATTATTTAATATTGTTTATTTATATTATTATTTATTATTGGTGGCCATGTCTTAAATTTTGTTTTACAAACTTATTTTGACCTACTGCACACTTTTTTTTTGTTTATAAAATGCAATTTCAATTGTAATATTTATCGTTGATTAATTTATATTTATGTGTATGTGGTAAAAAACAATAAAATAAACAAACAAACAAATCTACGAAAGCATTGTTGTGATCGGTTGATTCGCTTATGCACGGTGTATTATAGATTTTTATCTTTCCTGTCTTGGTGTAGTATCCAATGTTTCTTCTTTTTCTTCATAATTGTGTAGAGTGTTCTTCCATCTTTTTATGCTGCACTGACTACGGTAATACTAATTATCACATTACCTTACATTACCAATGAATATAGATTCCATTGATAAATGAGTCGGCCATGATGCGTAAGTGATTGATAATGTAATAAGCGACATTAAAGCCACCCACACACATACATTACTGTCAATATTTTGTATATATTTGCAGTATACCATTGCACCATAAAACCACCACTCCATAAACATAGCTAGTATTTTTGACAACGCAACACCGTTTGCTGATTGTCGGTTGTAGTCTGAGCGGAACGTTGCGCGCGCGTGACGGCGTTGCGTAATCCATAATGATCGCGTCGGCTTTTAGCCTTAAGCCCTGTCCACACTATCAATTTTGATTTGACAAAAAAGAGTGACCTGCCTAAACATGGTCAGGATGACAACAAATCATGGCCGTATATAGGCACATCATGACTATATAATATGTGAATACAGTTTTTTGTTAAAAAAAAAAAAATTTAGACAGAGCTTTACAGTTTTTCAATTACATTATTTATAGAACATGTTCGCGAAATTTGAAATGAAAAATTCCGATAACTTGGCAACTACAACTCAGGGGGACTTTCAGAGAGCCAACGCATCGCGCTACATAGTTATGCAGTGTGCGTGCTGCTAGGCAGCCGGAATTCCTTCAATGAGTTGGCGTCGCTGTTTCAAAATAAACCCGATAAAAAAAAGTATTGTCTATAGAGCTGCCCACATGAATAAACACAATGCGCTGCTTTACAAAGTGTAATGTCAAATAAAATATTGAATATTATATTCCAACATATACTTTGTAAATCAGTACGTAAAAAGCGCACATATAACTCAAAAGAGAATATAATTTTTTTCTGTTTAAATTTATTCTATTAGTCTTTTTTAAATTGAAAATGATGTTCCAATTCTTACAAAAAACCAGTATCGATTGATCAACAATCAAAATCTACATAAATTTATAAATTATTAAGATAATAATTATGTTTGCAAGGTGTGAATACATAATGGCATTGATAAAAATACAAATTAGATAACCAGCAATGCATATAAATATTATCTATTAACCACTGTTGTTCGCAATAAATATATATATTAGATAGAATAGATTACTAAAATTAATGTTTGTACAATTATTTCCATAATTGATAAATTCAACTGATTTACCCTGACTGTCTTCCAATCCACAATTTATGTATCATACTTAGCATATACGATACGTTTATACACAAATGTTAGCAATAATAAAGAGGAATAGACAATTAAATACAAAAAAAAATAAATAAGTAAATAAAAATACCTTGTGATTCGCAATAAATAATAATAATTATAATAATTAGATTAATAAAATTGATGTCAATTACTATAATTAATAAATTCAACTGAATTTTCCTAACACTCTTCCCATCCACAATATAGCATAGGCCTACTAAGCATAAACGTTCATACAAAAATGTCAGCAATTATTAAATAAAGAATAAAACAAATAAATACAATAAACATAAAAAAAATAAGAAAGTTTATAAAGAATAAAAATTTTGATAAATATAAAAAAAACCCCATTGCAACATTATGATCTAAATCGAATTACAAGTCAATACTAATAACATGGAATGCATACGAATAAATTAATTAATTTTTGGTATAATAGCTTATTTTAGAAAGGGTATAGTGGTTATGATCTTTTACTGCAGTCGTACTTCATAAAAGTTGCCCGCTTTTTGTGTTTATTTGACTCTCCAGACAGCGTTGGCGTTCCATCGGATGTGACAGTGAGGTACTGACCGGTTGCTATGTTGCTGAAGACGGTACCCTTGAAAGTGTGACTTTCAAGCCAGTGACAATAATTGCTTTCCATATGATTATCACATTTCTAGAAAGTTGAAGAAAAGTAGTTTTAGTATTAAATTTACTATTAAAAAAATATTGCGTACAACTTGTTATCGAAGTTCGCTGGTAATTTAGTTTATTGGTGTTAAGTTTAGTTAGGGCACTTTAACAATTTCATGTGAATTTTTATAAACTTCGCTCTGAAACATTGCCCTTAGATAGTAAAGTTTCTAGATGGTCTGATGACATTAATGGCTTATGCAATCTTTGTAATACAAATAATGAAGAGGACATTTACTATTTATTTACTTGTCCTGCTCTCCTAAACATACGTTTAGATGAGTTAATTAAACTTGAATTTATATTAAGTAAGTCAGAATATTGATGTTTAGGATCAATTCTTGAACTCTAATATTAATATTAAATCAAGTTAAATCTTAGGCTTTACTGCTCTTTACTCTGACACAAGAAATCGAGAAAAAGATCAGAACTTATTAACCATTTATAAGCCTTGTCGTAGATTAAGATCCTGTGCTGATTCATTTGTATTCAATCAATTTTGTTTAACCCTACTTTATTTATTGTAGAGTTAGGTGGTGGTACAGGTGGCTCTTCGAAATATGTGGGGGGGGGGGGAGATGATGAAATGTTTTTCCTTCTCATGTTTTTTTAGGAGCTACCTGCCTCATCAGTAGCTCTAATACATGTCTTTTTTTTTAGTACTTAAGAATTACATGTTTTGTTTATTAATTTTGTAATTTTTTGTATCATTTTGTAGTTAAGAATTTTTTAATTTGTTTGTATTTTATTTCACTTTGAACTCACCAAAGGATTTTTGAGTCCCACCGATCTAAATGTGTATGTTCTAATGAATACTATTGCCGGTTTTTAAACGTGTTTTGCAACATAATCATTACCACCACCATCACTTTATTATTTTTTTTAATAACCTTTTTTTATACATTTGATATATATTTTATATTTTAATACTATAACAACTGTGTAGGCAGATCGGAAATCCCCTTGAACATTCAAACATTGTTCAAATACGTTAAAAAAGTTATCAACTTCTAATAAAACAGATTCAGAATATTTATTTCTTTGTTCATTTAGATGCTTTTTACTATAAAGACTTTCTAAAGACGCGATGTCATCTGTAATATCGCGTCGGCAAAAGAAGTCAACCCGGCTTTGGAGACTATACAAAATCTAGTGGCGCGCAGAATGGACCTTCCCTGAGTGTCAGTCAAACTTAACAACTAGCTACCAGAAAAGAAAGAAGCAGGAATACGCGCTTATCCCCAAAAAACACCACATGTTTGAGTATGTTTACACATTCGTTTCATGGGACTAGCCTAACTTGCAACATCATCCAAGATGCCGTGTTTTTCGTAGGTCCACAATGTTTTAGTTGGAAGCTAATAACATATTTATAATGTACATAAAATAAATGACGTGTTTTGCCAAACATATAAAGTGTATCGGCAAATTTGAAAATGTATCGAAAGAAAGGATATGCTAAAGCTCAGCAATCAAGTTAATTTACCTGTACTGTTGTGAGAGTGTTGTTTAACACCGCAATATACTTTCCAGAATGGCAAGCCTGTATTTTCAAGTAGTACAGTCCGACTGATGAAAATTGTAAGTAATCTAAAGCAAAATAAAAACAATTGACACTCTGATAAAGTCAGCAAGACTTAACAGGCAATACGTCTCACAATTTTTCATTATATAATATTATATTTTTTGGTTTCTTTTCGTCTTATTATTAGTAATATTACTATCAATAATGGTGTTTGAATATTAAGGTTTATGACCGACATTTATTATTACAACCTGGTAACATTTGACCGTGCACCAGTGAAAATGAGTTTACAGGCATTGGCCTATGTGATGAAAAACAGTTTGTTATACAATTGATACTAATTTTAACTACACTTTTTATATTATATATGTTTTTGTGCTATATATCAATATACCTTTCTGTCCAATGCTCTGAGATGTTTGCATCCGACCTTCTTCATTTGCTGATAAAAAATACTGGGTCATACTCCTTAGCAAACACTGGTATCTGTTAGCGTCACATACACTCTTAGGAAAAGAAGGGCCACTACCAGAAGCCACAACAGCCGATGTTTCTGCAGAATTATATTGTAAAATGTCGACTAAATTGCTGTCCATTGGCCTAGCGATTGAGTTACTTACACAGCCAAGTGCTACAAGTAGTGCTACGAGAAAGCTGGATATCGTCTGCGTAAGCATGGTTGTGATGATCGCTTGTTTCGCTTGTACACGGTGTATCTAGGATTTATATTTTTCCTGTCTTGTTGTTAGTATTCTCTATGACAAAACTCTTTCACCAGTCGACTTATATAGAATAAATGTGTTCCGGCAGAAGTTACGTTATAATATTATAGCCTTGAGTAATATTTAACTCTTAATTCCCACCCCGGAAAAAAAAATCATCAAACTTAAACAATAAACAACCCGGTCACACGCCTCCTGCATTGCAACAGGCATCGATAGCCTATAACAATCAATCCAACCTGACGTAGAAGAAAGATCGTACTGGCATTTGCATATTAATTCTGGAAGATGTAACTACTGTTTAAGCAACTTAATGAATATAAAGAAAATGTTGTCATGTTGATAGAAAGTTTGACATTGTTTCAATTAAATTTCAACGAATAAGATCGTTAACCGAGAAAATATCAACATTAGGATAGACACGGGTTCTTATGGTTACGGATGCTAATTACTTACAGACAGAAATTAATTGTGGAATACGGTTATTTACTAAGGAGACATGCCTTCGTGCTTTCAATAAAAACATTAGGTCTACTTAATCTAAAAGTAGGTTAAATCAGAGAACTCCTTATTCCGACCTTTTAATGTAAACTGCATAGGTTATTGACCAGTCAGAGGTAATAGCCTAAATCGGTATAAAACTTCAAAGGCTCATATAATTTTTGAACAAAAAGCTTTAGAGAATATCACTTTTTAATCAATTGTAATACATTAAATTTCGTCGACGTATACAGGTAAAGTTGTAAATGAAATATATATGAATAATATATAAAATTATATCAATTTAAATATATAAATAGATATAAATTTCGAGATAGTAGAATATAGAACACAGTAATCTTTTTTCATTACATACATATAATTTATATATAATGATATATATATATATATATTTATAAACAAATGAACATATATATATATATACATACATATATATATATATATATATATGCGATTGTGTGATTAATGATATCGTATAAAAATTTATACTATATTGCCTTTGTGTATAGACCTTGGTGTGTGTGTATGTATACGCAGCTGTCTCTTATACACATCTAGATGTGTATAAGAGACAGTATATATATCGTTCAACGATCGCGCCTCATGGATTTAAAGTGGCAATAGTTCATATTACTTAAGGTTCGTTAAACCACAGATAACCTAACATTTTTAATCACTTCCTTAACCTATTTTTGTTTAACTCAATGTTTCCACACAATGTTTGGTTACGCCTTTACTTATTTGTGTGCGTTGTTTCGTAAATTTAGGCTTTTTAAGTATTCAACTTAAATCAAGTCATCAAGTCTCACCACCACAGAGTTTGTTTGTGTGGTCTTCAATTTAATTGACTGGTAAAGACACGGTGGTTTAATAATCAAATCACCCTGAAAGAGTTATTTTCAATTTAATTTTCCAGTACATTTTGTTTAATAATCTTAAATTGTTGACTTTCCAAACGAAGGCATCAATCAAAAAAGCGTTGTGAAAATGCAACTTTATTTATGAATTATACACCTATTGCACAATTCGACATGATGCACTTCTATATTTCGAGTCCAACGGTGACAAACACAGGGTTAGTACCAGCAGAGGGCCGAGGGTGGGGAACAGGTCCCCCCGGAGGAGAAAATTACAATTCGTCGGGAAGAAAGAATGTTTATATGTATTTTCTACATATTGGTAGACTTAATAAGATTAATCGATTAAATAAGTATTTGAAACCCCTAAATTAATCACTTTTCAAACAATTTGAAAGCGACGCCTGACCACGCCCAATTTGCTCCCGTCGAGGACATCTTGCCCCCGTCGAGGTCCTCTGAACCCCGGTCGGGCAAATCTTGGCGCCACACTTGAATAAACACTTCACTATTTAAGCCCTGTCCAGACTAATTTTATTTGACGAAAACGTGTGACATGCCTAAATATGGTCATGATGAATCACATTATGACCATATATAGGCACAGGATGAATATATATATGAATACAACATTTTTGCTCAGAAAAAAACTTGGTAATCTGAACAGAGCTTTAGAAGTCTTAATATAATGGTTTTGTAGCGATAGCATTTTTTATAATACGCAATATTGATTTGACCTAAATGTTTTTACATTTCTTTACATGTTTACATGTAAAATAAACTTAGTATTCGTACAAGAAATCGTTACGCCAAAATGTTGGAGCAAGAACTCATACTATAAAATAGGACAGGATTTACTTAGTGTGGGCGCGTTGCGTTGCTACCTAAATGGCGCCAAAATTGTGGTTATGGCTTTGAACATGTAAAAACAATTCCTCGCGTCCTTAACCCTATACCCTTATACAAGGATGTTCTTAAGAATGCCACACGAATATCCGATGGCGTGCCAACAAGATTATATACGTTTTATGATGTAATTTATTTCAAAGAAATTACCTAGCCACTAAGTGGATACCGTATATACTAGACGTTGCAGTATGCTGTTTAATTAGGCTATATCATGACAATATTAATAGGCTGACCGTTTTGGAACTTTTTGTATAGTGTCAGTCCACATTTCTCAGTATGAATGTTCAATTTTTGTCATAAAAGTTTGATAAAAAAAAATAATTTAAAATCAAATAGCATGGAATGGTACTATTTAAACGTACTATAACGTTTACATTAAAGCTTATTTAGACCTATATATAACCGTTTAGACTGTAAGCTGCCGAACCGAAAGTTTGACACGCTTGTGAAGTCGTTAAATTTGGTTCCTGTTACTAAAGTGTTCTTTTATTGCCCGTGAGATCAGGAGGGGAATTCCATGAGCAATACAGACCACACTATTATTAGGCTAACTTTAGTCAATAGACTACAAGCACGATTGTTTACGTCTTGTGACAAACATAATACACATCGACTTTGGATTTTAAATTATGTATTACTGTAACCTCCTTTCGGAATCTTCTTACGTATAAGTACGATTATGGTTATTGCATTTTAAAATTTTAAAAGCAATGCCGACTTCATTGGTACGTATTTTCTCTAGCATTCTAGCACGCGTGTGTGACCATCAACTTTTAATGAGCACACGTACATTTAAATGAATCTTTCCGGAGTGTCAATCAAACTTAACAACCAATCAGAACAGGCCAAGAATACGCGCGTGACCAAAGAGGCCAAGGCCTGTAATTAGGCTCCCGGACTAATCTAAATATTAAATTAATCTTAAATAATAAAACTAATCTTAAATTTAAAAAAAAAAAAAAGAAAAAAAAAAAAAAAAAAAAAAAAAAAAAAAAAAAAAAAAAAGAAAAAAAAAAGAAAGACAATTTGGTGTGGACAAAGCTTTAAACAGTCAGTATCTTGCTTCAGATCGCTTCAAACTAAAGACATTGTACTCAACCAGCGCAACGTGACTCTGCAGAAATTTGGTACATAAAGGTCTCCGGATTATTTATTCGAAGTCTGTTATCTAGGCAGTCAAGTCGGTAGCTTCATACCGACTTGATAATCAATTGGTTTCTATTGCGTTCTTCTCTGTTTGTATTTTCCGATTTAGTGGTATATTACGAAAGACATATATGCGGTGTCGAAGATGTAGAAGACAACAGGATTGCGAGGCACGTTCAGTAGCAAAACGCAGAGTAGGAGTATATTGGTGAAACCACAAATTAGTTGTTAAATATTCATGCATAGACGCAATGGGAAGAGGCGGAAGAGGAGGATATTATTATAAGGGATACTGATGACAGAAATTTATGTTATAAACGGAAAGTAATAATACCGTTATATTTAGACTTAGGTCGGAGTGAGGAGTTTGGGTGATGGTTGTGGTACAGACAGTCAGTCTTGAGTTCAGGGGTTCGAATCCAACGCTGCTTAATTTGCTAACGTAATTTTCCAGAGTGTCGATTAAATTCATTAACCGACCAATCAGAGTTTGTTATTTAATATCTATGAATACGCGCATGCCCCAAAGACACGCGAGTCAAGGTACGTTTACGTTGTTTAATGTCCCACAACTTAGCAACAGTATCCTAGATGCTAGTTAAAGGTCCATTCTCATTGATGTTAAGGCAATTGTAATATGTGTTTATTCGATGAATGAAATAAAGAATACGGCGGTGTTGTTGTTGATTATGATGTAAAATGTGGCAATAATTGCATTGCAGTTACTGATGATTGTAATAACGTCACATTTGGTGAGCCAATTCTTTAGACTGCAATATTTCTATAATACAAAAAAAATATTGCAAACAACTTAAATTATTAAAAATAAATGTTATGACCTACTCGTCAGAACTCGATGAAGATTAACAGGTTTTTGTAGTTTCAAACATCCCAGAGTGGCGGATCAAAATCTTCGTAGGCCTAAGCCTAGTAAAGCTAATTGGAGCATCGATTGACTCAAAAGCGGATGCCTCAATCTGATTTTCATTCGCATGATAGGTCATACTTTTTAAAGGGACGTAAAAGCTAGAGCCTTGATACAATATACCAGTAAACGAAATATATTATACATGAGCCTATCTATTATTACGAGCATCTTAAACACTACATCCTACGACACCGCCGACAGGAGGGGCACACTGGCTCACCAGCGTTTGATAAATGAGTCCTCGGAAAGCTAAACAGAACGAGCAAAGAATCAAATTAAAGCACGTCATAAATAACTAATGTTTTATTAGGAATAATGATACAAGCCAAACCAAATTGGATGCCATGCGGCACCCATTAGGCCATCGCCCACTCAATATGCACTCGCAAGCACACCTCTCACTTCTTTAATCCAGGTTCACACATACCGCTTGCACAGCACATTTAAATAAACCAACCAGTACAAAGGATATAGAAGCACAATTCCCCTTCAGATCATCTTTGAGACCTGAATATTTGGAGTGGTCTCTTGTTTGGTTTGGCAATTAGAGGAATGGCTATGTGTTAAAAGATTGATGATTGTTATTTGGAACTTTGACAAGTTAGAAGGGTCTCGAATTGGAGGGTAACTGTAATATTACGACAACATAGCTAATAAAGCTACGTTTCTTACTATCAATCCGATTAGCAATGCGGATATAAATTTATCCCTATACGTAATAAACCTAAATGGTTATATATTTAAGTAAACGTCACATCCATCTAAGATCGCGGTGTACACCAATGTGGTTTAATGACAAAGGTTAGCTATTGAACACAATAACTCTAAAGTTGTGTAGTTCCGTCAACAAACCATTGTTGAAAATAGGGTTTAATGACGTAATGATTA